GGGACTCCTCTCTCTGCTCTCTTCCCGTGCACACGTTGGTTGCTGTTCGAAACATGTTTCTTATAAGCGCCCTTTTCGAGTGAGAGAGGTGAGAGGAGAGGTAATGAACCAAGATATTTTTACTACTTGGCTTTCGGTACCACTTTGTAATGTAGCCATTTTCTGATAGGTGAATTTGTGCGTTCAAAAATGGAAGCCATTTTTCTTTCGGCTTTTCTCGGGTAAACTTGATATACTCTGACTGTGCGTTTAACAATTCGAAGCATTTGCCCATTTCCTCTTGTGTTGAGCAAAGAACAAAGCAGTCGTCTACATACCTACAGTAGAGTAGCGGCCCGAGATCAGTCACCGGTGCTTCCACCTTAGATATAAATGCAATGGCAAGGCTTGGAGCCAGTCGTTGTCCCATTGCCAACCCTCTCATTTGAGCGTAGTACTTTCCAGACCATCTGAAGATTGAGCAGCTCAAGCATTCTTTTAAGAGTGCCATCAGGTGCTCTATCTTGAAGCCATACATGTTTATTTCTCCTTCGTGTTGTGTAAGGAGTTCGAATATGGCTGCATTGCGTAGTCATTCGATACGTTTGTATAAAGGGCGGTAACGTCGAAGGACTCCATCACGCATGCGCTGTTGGGCTGCGCAGTACGTAGACGATCCAGAAACATCTGGGTATTCGTAAGATGGGCTGGAATGTGTTTCAACAACTGGTTAAATATTAGGGTTAAAAACCATGTTATCCTGTCCGTTGGCCCGTCTACGCAATGATAGGTCTAACCTTAAATAGTGATGGATCGTTAGACGCAAGATCATCGTTGGATACTAACTTATGAGTTTTTATAAGTAAGTACAAGACGGGGCATGTTGGTAAGGCAACTTTAAGTTGAGAGATAACTGATGGTTTCAAACCAGCAGCCCTTGCCATTTTGGCCCATTCGTGGCTTAGTTTTCGGTATTTACTTTTGAATTCCTCCTCAGATGATGGGCGATAAAGCGAAGCATCTTCAAGATGCTTTTTCGTTATCTCCACATCTAACTGATGAGGAATTACGACAAACTCTCCACCCTTATCACTAACGGAAAGTCTTATGGTTTTCAACCTTATCAGGTCTCGTACCTCTCGCATACCACGTTTTTCCACTGGAGTGAGGTGGGAGCTGTATTTTTTCGCGCGATAGTGATTAAGGACTGTTTCATTCAAGTTTCAACTGAAGTTTCATTCGCAAATATCCGAAATTTAACATCAACTTCATTACTGGGCTCTTGTTGACTAAAGAACGTCGGGGTAAATGGTGCTATTGGTAGGGCCCCCACTTGATGTTGTTCGCACCTATTTAGCGCTTCATCTCTAGCTTTTTTGCGGAGTCTATCTTGAAGTTCATGTAAACCACATGCGACCCTACGCAAGGTTATCTTAGAAATGGGTTCAGATGGTGAGAAACTCGGCCCCAATTCTAATAACGAGCGCGCACCGTCAGGGAGAGTTATGCCTCCTAACACGGTTAGCCTTGAATTTTCTTACTCATTACCTATCCTAATGTGATCTGTTTGATGTTCTTTAGCGATATTTTGGTGCGCTATTGAAGCTGTGTTATATGATTTACTCAAAAGGTCTTCGAATTTTCTTCGCAAAGCTACTTTAGCATTAGACCTAATAGAGTTGCAAATCAACACTGACCCGCCCACTATTCTCCTCCAGAGGTGGTCCTCCAAATATTGAGCACAAAAGTTTTCCTTCGTCTCGCACTTCTTCCACTTGGCGAACATCTGGTTTTGTCGGCTTCGTAGACAAGTGCATACTATTCGCAATTCGACGTCCAATACTTGGTGACTGTCCTCTGGTAGACCGCATACGTCGTGTAGTCGTCTTCGTTTGATGAAGTTCGGAACGACTTGATGTTTTAGACAACGGCGGAGAAAGTGTATTGACTGCCGAGCTAAGACGATCTTTTGTCTCAGTGACAGCGCTTCTTTTACAAGTCGGAAGTATCTTGCTGGTACATCTTGCAGTAACTGCCACGACCGACTTTCTATTAACCTCGGCATTGATCAAGTGATTTTCTTCGTATTTTTGTTGAGCAAACGCGAGGTGTTACTATTCTTTTTTCACGAATAAGGTGACGTTTCGGCGGATTTCGGCTTCTTCAGAGCCTGGAAAGGTCAAGTTGATAGCAATCCACTCGACCAGACGCCTCCATAACCAAACAAAGAAGCTCCAAACCAAGATTTCAATCACTTCGAACACAGCTCTGCACACTCACCGCTTTCTATGAGGTTTCCACTAAGTATGTCACGTAGAGACCAACCGCACAGAAATCAGTGGAAGTATTAATGTGCTCCTCACAACAGAAAAGCAGTTTTATATACTGCCCTATATCACGCGTGATAATGAGGCATTCTTCCCTGCTCTCTACCACTGGGGCAAATTGTGCAATTTTGAGTTGCACATAGACGGTGATTGCATGAGCTCGGGTATAGTTTATCTGATCTCCTGTAAGACGTGTGGTGACGAATATATTGGCGAAACGGGTAGACCCCTCTGTGCTCGCATGAAAGAACACCTAGCCGGCAAAAATAGACCAAATACCCCGCTAGGCACGCATAGGACCCAGAGACATAACGGGGACGACTTCGAAGTATGTGTCACGATCCTCGCACGCGAATCAAGAACACAGGCGCGAAAAACTCTCAAGGCACTCTGGATTAATTCCAGAAATCCGAAAATGAACCGCAGGGAAGAATGCCTCATTATCACGCGTGATATAGGGCAGTATATAAGACTGCTATTCTGATGGGAGGGGCACATTGTACTTCCATGTGATTTCTGTGCGGTTGGTCTCTACGTGACATACTTAGTGGAAACCTCATAGAAAGCGGTGAGTGTGCAGAGCTGTGTTCGAAGTGATTGAAATCTTGGTTTGGAGCTTCTTTGTTTGGTTATGGAGGCGTCTGGTCGAGTGGATTGCTATCAACTTGACCTTTCCAGGCTCTGAAGAAGGCGAAATCCGCCGAAACGTCAGCTTAATCGTGAACAAAGAATAGTAACACCTCGCGTTTGCTCAACAAAAATACGAAGAAAATCTCTTGATCAATGCCGAGGTTAATAGAAAGTCGGTCGTGGCAGTTACTAACTTATATGTTTTAGTAAGTAAGTATAAAACGGTACATGTTGGTCGCTCTACTTTGTAATGCGAAACTGGATAGTTCTAAGCCCGCGCCCTTTGCTACTGTGATCCATTCATTGTTATGTTTTAGGTATTGTTCTTTGTACTCCTTTTCAGACGATGGGCGATAAAGGGTAACATCACTAGGATGTTTCTCTGTTATCTCAACATCCAGCTGACGAGGAATAACTACGATCTCTCTCCTTCTATCACTAACTGATAGTCTAATGGTCTTCGAATTTATTAATTCTCTAATTTCTCGCATACCACATTTTTGCGCAGATGTGACGCTAGAGATATACTTTCTATCGCGATAGTGGACGAGGACTTTAAGAACATCGCCCGTAAACAGGCGAAACTTTCCAACAGTTTTGACATTGGCGTCCTGCTGTCTGAAGAACGCTCTGGGGAAAGGAGATGGTGGTAATAGCGCCATTTCTTCGTTTTCATTTCTATTTAACATTTCTTTTTTGGCCTTGTAGCGTAGTCGATCTTTTAGTTCATGCAAGCTGCATGCAATCCTACGCACAGTTACTTTAGAAATGGGTAGTGATGGTGAAAAACTTGGACCCAACTCTAGTAGTGAGCGCGCGTTTTCAGGTATGGTCCAAGTACGGTGATCCTAGATATTCTTGGTGCATTATCAACCTTATTTTGACTATTATAAAAAGCGTAAAAAACTTGCTTGCGGTTGTTTCTTGAAGCTAAGACATTTGAATTACTCAAAAGCGTTTCGAATTTTCGTTGTAAGGCTATTTTGAAATTAAACCTAATAAAATTGCATATCAATATTGACCCACCAACTATTTTCGTCTAAAGGCGATCCTCCAAATACAAAGCACAAAAATGTTCGTTTGTCGCGCACTTCTTCATTCTGGCAAACATCTCGTTCTGCTTGATTCGTAGTGCAGCTCGAAGTAGTTCCATTTCGATGCCTCGTACTTGTTGGCTGTACTCTAGTTGACCGCATGTCTCGCGAAGGTGCCTTCGTTTTACAAACTTCAGTGCGACTCGGTGTTGAAAACAGCGACGAAGAAAGTTGATTCTTGGTGCATTATCAACCTTATTTTGACTATTATCAAAGGCCTAAAAAACTACCATTAAAACAATTGTGCAATTTTGCGTTGAACATGGACGGTCATATAGGCGGTTACGAACTAGCTGGCGCCTAAGAGTACTCGGTGGCATTTCAACTACGCTTACCGAATTCTCTAGACCCGCCCTTCTTAAGCAGCGTTTTACAGCTGCGCTAACATCATTTGAGATGAAGGGCAGGATAAACGTGACGTTTTTATCGCTAGAGTTGTCGTTTGGGGGGCTAGGATTTCCTCTACACCTATCCCGAGCTACAGTTTCGTAGCTATTAGAGAAGACCATTTACCATGCCAAGTTCCGGGACCTCTCTCTCTGCTCTCTTCCCGTGCAAACGTTGGTTGCTGTTCGAAACATGTTCCTTACAAGCGCCTTTTTCGTATGAGGGGTGAGAGGAAAAGTAATGAGCTAAGATGTTTTACTACTTGGCTTTCGGTACCAATTCGTAATGTAGCCATTTTCTGACAGGTTAATTTGGACGTTCGGAATTGGAAGGCAGTTTTCTTTCGGTTTCTCCCGGGTGAGCTTGATATACTCTGAGTGTTCGTTCAACAACCCGAAACATTTGTCCATTTCCTATTGTTTTCGTCCACACCCGTTTTACAAGTGACTGGGTACAACGCATACACTCACTGCCTCTACCGTCAAGACAAAAGTGTGCAATTTTAGGTTATCCATAGACGATGAATTACAAAGAGTTGCGTTCTAGCTGGTGTCTTCGGTTTCTATTAGCCAACGTTTACGCTCATTGGCTCTATTATCGCTCTTAGCACACGTGCTTTCTCTTGTTCATTGGTTGCCAGCAATATCTGCGAAAGAAAGTTTGAATTTTTAGAAAATTACGATAGTAATTAAAGAATTCTCTGTGGCTGCTGTGAAAGTTATGCTGACTTTTATTTATGATGGTTCAGTTATTTATGCTGGTTCCCTCCAGGACTTAGACTTGAAGGTATTTTGACACTTTGTTCACAGTCGTTTTTTGAATATCTTAATTCAATATTTTACAAATTGTATTACGCTTCTGACGTCGTGAAGTTAGAAGAAAAGCACAACATTTTCGCCCTTAAGTCAATGACTGAAAAAGACCTTATTTCGAGGTATGTGAAGCCGATTTGTATTGAGCTGATGTCCCGTTCTTGTTTTCAAGTAGGTGAGATACTGTTTTAAGAGTCCTGAGAAAAAGTACGTCCAGTTGACAAAGTTTATTTTTTTTTTCGTTGATTTTGTTGTGGTAATTGCTTTTTTAGAGACTCTTCTATAAACGTCGCTGAGTGCTTGGAGTTGGCAGATTCTCACTAAGCGAATTATTTGTATGAGCACTGCTTTAACTTCGTAAGCACCTAATATTGGCCCTCCTCGTTTGGTTTTTGGTTTGCATCTCAACGCTCGGCTTTTTTTTCCGTTTCTCAAGATTTCAATGCTAACATAAAGCGGTGCTTCAATGTTTTTCTTCAATAGGCAGAGACGAGGTTGTTAATATAGAATTCATTAAAATACAATAGCTGACGTTTCGGCGGTTTCGCCTTCTTCAGAGCCGTTTATTTGTTGTAAGTATTCAAGTTAGTTGATGGATAGCCGCCGCACAGAGTAATATAGGGCGATAACTCTTAGTTCTCGAAACCGCCGAAACGTCAGCTATTGTATTCTAATAAATTCTATATTAACAACCTCGTGTCTGCCTATTGAAGAAAAACATTGAATTATCAATTAATGCCGAGGTTAACAGAAAGTCGGTCTTGGGAAATGCTACGTAAAGCGGTGCTTGTTTGGATAAGTTATATTTGTCAAGTGAACCACTTTTTTGTGCTTCAGAGGCTTCTGATGTTCTTTCTAGAGTAACCGTCGTACAAAGAGTCTTCAATTTCTTTTTCATTGTGTAAAAAAGCTTCATAGCAGTTATAAATCATATGGCTTTTTAAAGCGAAAGCGAAAACTTAGTTCTTATAAATTCCAAAGCAATGAGTTGTAAGTTATTCTAGATAAATAAAAATATACGTCATATGTTGGAAACGGGATCGTGGAGGGCGCTGCTACATCGAAACCCAAGACTCAGCAGTTCAATACGGAGCAGTATGGATTCATTGAGATAGCAACAATTCTCCACCTATGAAAAGATGTCACTACGGAGGTGAAAACTAGGCGGTTACGGTTCTGTGCATCTACTTATTGAACACTAAGAATTGGTTTTTTGATTTATATCGCCCTATTACATTTTCCGAGAATTCTTTATATGATGCTCGTTGCATATTTCAATTACGGTTGCTGTTAATAAACAGGTTCTCATCAACTACTCTGTTTAAGCGTAGGATATCACTTTACTCGAGTAGCAGCTAGCTCAATGGGTTAGGTACTCCGCGATATATTTATGGTCATTTGTTCGATTCATCTATTTGAAGTCGCCAAATTGGTAACATAACGGACTACTTGGAATTTTAAAAGCAATGACTTGGTAACTCGGCTAGCTATCGTATCGTAAGCGACTATATATATATATATATATATATATATATATATATATACGCTAGTAATACAGAAAGACGACATACTGCTTGCTAGTTCTCTTGCGCACAAGAACCCATCCTGAGGAATCCGGCGTTTCCATTAGGAAGCCCATCTAAGAAACCAATACGAGGATTCGTCCTAGTACCAACCTTGTCGCACGATGGCAAATCTCTCGCTTATCCACAAGGATGGTGACTACCTGAGGTAAGCTTTGCCCAGGTTGACATCGGGACTCCAAGAAACCACAATGGCTAGACCAGCAGAACTCCGAAATAACGGAAATTATGCTGGAGTCTGCAGAACCAGTGAAGATGGGCCATCCAAGCATCCAAGTAAGTAAGTAAGTAATAAGAGGTACGCTGATGGATGAAGAAGTATCTGTGAAATAGTAAAAGCAAATTTGGCTGTGGAAGACTTTATCTTCATCTTTCTAAATGTTAAGGATGGTGCGTCGTTTTCTTGCTCAGCAATCGCGAGGTTTTTAAACAGCATACATTTACTTCCATAGAAAAACGCAATACAATACAACACTAGCTGACGTTTCGGCAGTATCGCCTTCTTCAGCTCCGAATCAGCTTCATATGCGACTATAATCAGCTGTTCTAAACTTCCTCATTGGAAGTCACGAAAAAGCGGCTCTGAAGAAGGCGATACTGCCGAAACGTCAGCTAGTGTTGTATTGTATTGCGTTTTTCTATGGAAGTAAATGTATGTTGCTTAATAACCTCGCGATTGCTGAACAAGAAAACGAAGCATTCATATTCCAATGCCGAGGTTAATAGAAAGTCGATCCTGGGAGCTGTTAAGGGTGGTGTTAAAGTCCTTATTCTAGCTTGTAATGTATAACCAAACACTAGGAAGCTTTGAAAAATAAAACCAAAAATATCTTTGGTGGAATCACTAATAAAAGACTAAGCAATTTTGCAGTTTCCAGTACTTTAATTTTTGACTAAAATATTAATATAGAAAAACAACTAGATTAGTTGTACTTCTTGGGACTTCCTCAGAAGGTAAGTGCCCATAAGGTGCAAGGCAACAATGACCATGATAACGAAGCTCTTCATCGCTTCAACTCCTAGTTATCTCGGGTGTATGCCAATCTATAGTTTAAAGTTCGACAGTTTGATAACAGCTATTTACACGAGAGGCTTCGAAGGAGCTGAAGATACCCGCTACTATGTTATGCGGACGGGCTGGGATGACCATTTCGAAAAACGGAGGAGAAAACTTGTGGAACTGGTAGAACAGTGGTCAGATCTTTAGCTCACACTCTGCTTTTGCTTAGAATAGTTACAAAGCAGAATGAGTGAATGAAGCTTTGTTAAGCCCATTAGATTGATCTTCAAATCACCACCATCCTGGCATCAGACTAGTCGCATTGTAGCAGATCTCACACTGATCGTCAAGTGCAGCGACGACCTGGGCTTGTGACGATTTGGGAAAGGCTTTGCCTGAGTTGATGTCGGGAATGCAAGGAACAATATTAGCTCCACCAATAAATCTCCAGCCTCAGTACTCCGCAAACTAGGCGTTCATCTCTACGACTTCGGGCGACGAGACAGCTAATGAAAGGCGATCAAATCTCGGGTTACACAGGACGTCACTGGAGATGGACAAAACGAGCACGCCCAGGACACGCCATGGAGACTGATTGTTGCTGTGTACCTATAATGCTAGAACAGTCTCTTCGGAAGCCATCCTTTACGTTCTTCTTAAAGCCGCCGATCGCTGGAGGACAATTTCAGCTGGGAAATCTCAGAGGCATTGCCATTGTCCTACACCCATCTATTCCCCATCTAGCCCCCATATACGGAATTCTGTCGTCGCGCATGGCCACTTTTCGTCTCTAACTTGCTCGCCAAAAGAAAGTCGGTATCATCAACTGCTATCCACCACTGTGTAGAGCCGACGAAAGCAAATTGGACGCGTCATGAAGTCCTGGACAGCTAAAAACCATGACCAAAATGCCACCATTCTTTTACGATATCATCGACGTAAGAGCCGTGTAGCGGAGTGGTCGGAAGCGCACTTCAACATACACGTGGAAGCGAACACAACGAACACATAGGATTGATCCCGATTCCCACGCTCATCAAGCCCTCCATCCTCCGGGGTCGACAAATTGGTACCTGACTTGTCTGAGAGGATAGCAGCACTGGTTCGATGCATCGGTAGGCCACCGAGAGTCATTGTAAAGGCCAGATCTGCATCCAGTCACCTCCAAACGATGCTTAATGAAGTCGAGGCGCGTCCTTCAGAGAATGAGATTGGGATTGATCAACGACGAGAGCTTTATCCTTCATCCTTTATTGCTGTGAATGAAAGTGCGAAAAGGTTGTGATGAGTGGAAAGACGCGATAGCTTCATAACAAAAGAAGCCAATAAACCACAGTGCAATTTTGTTCATTTCGTAGTACTCTTACACCTTAAACATCGTTTTAGGTTATAAAGGCTCGCAGAACTTTCCATATGTTACAGTTTTACAGAAGTATTAAATTACTTGCACTATGCCGAACAGGGATCTGAGCAGATCCTATATAAATTGATGTAGAGCCGATTTTTTACCTTAACTTTTCAGTCCAAGTTCCTGACTGTCCACTGAGAAAGGTTACTCATTTCTCACATCCTCTCCCACTTACTGTTCACTAGAACAAGCAGTGATAAGAAATTACTAGATACTTGGAATAGGAGGGCATTTGGACATATTACTACTTCGCTTAACGAAGAGCGGTCTAAAAATTTGCTTAAAAACCATCCACTCGATCTACATTTTCCTAGTCCTTTATTCGACATTTACACTCAGCTCTTCGGATTTACTCAGACAGCTTCACGACTGATAGTCATGAACGCTCCCAGTTCCACCCATATTGGCTGGAATGTTGCTGCTTGTTCGACTTTTATTTGCTTTGATACCAAGAAACACCGTTCTCAGATGTTCCCAGTTCGCCACTCTAGCTGTCAGCCCTTTTGTATCGGGATGACGATCGTTGTCTTCTGACAGAATTTTTCTCGGGACCAGGACGTTGCCAGGAAATGGCATAATATTTTCTGAGCTATCGAATTGAAACAATATCTGTTATTTCTGAAAATCTTGCCCGAGTAATGCAGGAGTGGTAGAGGTAACTTGGAAGAGTCAACAAAAAGTGCGAGAAGTTTATTAATGAACAAAATTCACAGATAATTCAACAAAGTGAATTATTCAACAACACTACATACGGAATATTTCAGTACAAATCAAAGCAGTTTGTACCAGCTTTGTGAGGATTTCGATAAACACTATCCTCTTCCTCATCAAGTGATTCAGTGGTGAATGTAAATTGCTGTAAAATTTAATAATTCTATACAAATTGCCAAGCAATCCAAATATTCAGACAATTTGAAGTCCATCCACAAGGGTGCTGAGATGATCAAAATTGGGAATCTCAGGCGTGCTTCGAACCCGCAATTATCTTTTCCTAGAGTTCACGTACTATCTATCTACCACATCAACAGGGGCGTTTGCTTTGCTTTCTCTCAGCCAGTCTTTTACCGTAATGGTACTATTAACAACCACTTCTCAAAACTGACTGGAAGCAAGGCGAAGCAAGGACCACGGATGGTGCACTAGATAACACGTAAGCTCCAAGAACGGGTAGTAGCGGCTTCAAAACGAGTCAGGGATTCCGAGTTTTTCTCACATTTCAGCATCCTTGTGGTTGTATTTCACATAGGAACTTGCCATGAGAAAAACAACAGGCAGTAAATAAAAATCAGAACAATTTGAAATCCGCCTAAACAATTTAACAGATTTTATCTTTTGTTTTCCATTAACGACACATTCAATCAAACAGATCTGCTGTCAAAATCATATTTTCAGAACCTAAATTTCAAAGGACTGCTCTCAATAGCAATTATTTTTTATGGATCTTGCTGCTACCATACTGGACTGGTAGCATATTGGTACTGATACCACTCCCTATTTCTAAGGCGCGTGTGGCGTAATGGTCGGAGGCGCATACGATCCCCTTCGGGATCGTCAAATGGGCACCAGACTTGTCTGCGAGGATAGCAGCACTGGCTCGATACATCGATAGGCCACCGCGAGTCATTGAAAAGGCCGGATATGCATTCAATCACCTCCAACGATACTTGACGAAGTCGAATGCATTGCGCATCCTTCAGGAATCGATCAACAGCGAGGGCTTTATGCATTATTCTTGTTATACCGCTCCCTATGAGTAAGGTCGTCAAGGTGAAGGTCTGGGAAAGCTTTAGCAGAGCTATTGGAAAAAATAGTGTAAAAGAAAATGAATAAAGGTAGAGAAAACCAATTCGACTAGCATTCAGCGACATTCATGAAGAACACAACTTCATCAGTTGGCAGCCGAACCCCCATGCAAATCCAAAGGTAATCACGGATAATGGATCCAAGGAAACAGGTCAAATGGAATCCGTGCTGGGAAGAGCACAATGTATTATGGTGGATCATGTTACAAACAGGATAAAAACTTTGTTACTAACACTATTATTTTCCGGACTAACATTGCGTGATCAATGTTATCAGTCGTGTAACTGAGAGCTCAGCTAAATCTAGGACATGGAAGGTGGATTTCGAAAAGCACAGCAGTCCTTGTTCTCATGTGATGACATTGTATGATATCAGCATTTACACGTATTTTAAACAATTGCCCATGTATATAGCAAGACTGTACTTTTTCCAGAAAGGCCAGTAAGAGCGATTGTTGTGAATCTGCAATAATCGACTGATAAAAAACCTAAACACACTTTGTTTTTAAAACTCTGCTAGAGCTATTTTATGGTCAAAATGGCAGAGTCATGGTTTTCTGAAATTTGGGTCAAGTTCATTTTTTCATTTTATACGACCGGTTTTCACGTCTACTCTGCGGAACATAGCACTTCGCACATTAGACCCGCTTCCTCGCATCCATCATCCACGAAGATCTTCCAACTTTTATGTGTGGCTTGGACTACTGCTTGAGGATTTCCATTTAATGTTGAATGTCGTAGAATGCTAGTCAAGTCCATTCTCCCTAAAGTCCTGAGAAAGCCAGGCTGGATCGTTCCCGAATGGATCGCAAACAGTGATTGTTCCCGGACAAATTCGGCACCAATTTCCCGACCCCAAAGGAATGAAGGACTCGGCTGGCCCGAAGCGGAATCGAATTAGCACCATGCTCGTGATGACCGACATCACTACCACTGTGCTATCCGCCCCTCTTGGGTCTAGTCAAAACATTTAAATGGTTCTGTGAACAAAATATCAAGTCTTAACCCTTTTATTTACTGCCTTTTTCATTTTAATGGCAGGGTATGTTGCGAAATATAACGCATATAATGCTGAGATATTTGCAAAACTTCGGACCGCAGGTTTATGCGGTGGGTAACGAACGCGAGCTATTGTCCTTACCGGGGAGTAGCGCACTTCACCACCACATTATCCGGGTCCTTCGTTTTGCCTGTCTCTCAGCTAGTTCTACCGATCTTTTTGCCACCAGCAATCACCCGTCAACGGGATTGATCTGGGGCGCCCAAATCGGCATAGAACCCAGTTTAGCTGCGGCTGTAGTTGAAATCACAATCTTAACCCTTTTATTTACTGATCGATAGAACTAGCTGAGAGACATGCAAAACGAAGGACCCGGATGGTGTGGTGGTGAAGTGCGCTACTCCCCGGTAAGGACAATAGCTCCCGTTCATTGCCCACCGCATACACCTGCGGTCTGGAGTTTTGCAAATATCTCAGCATTATATACGAAAAATATCAAGTGTTTCGATATCATCTTGCAGCCGGAAGTTGCTATAAACTTTATCTCGACATTTAAGGACATCTTTTCTTTATGACGAGATGGTGACCCATCGCAATTATACTAGAGGAACTTTTACAGGTATAACTGTACTATATTTTTATAACCGGAAGAATCAGACTATACTGTAGATATAACTAGTGCGTTTTGTTTCCAACTCTTATTCTCCTTACATTATATTGACAATTAAGAAAACGGCAGTAATAACATCTTAAGAATGGATCCGACCCTTCCAATAGCCTTTCTGGACAATATGCCGTTAGGGACGATCTGCTGGTATAAATCAGAGCACAGAAACGCTGGTTTCCTTGCACCACATCCTTTCCTGCGTACTTGTTTAGAAAACATCTTTTAAAACTATTAATTCTTTCTCCCTTGTAATTGCTGCGACGAGCCAACTCTAAGGTCTACTGCCATATAGGCCACTTATTTACTGACCTTCCAAGTATCACGAAAGGCTAGACGTATAAGAATGAAATATGCAAGAGGATTGAAATCACCTTCATTATAGAACCAGTACACAGGTTTTTTTTCGAATAGGAAAAGACCTTACCACATATGGATGTCCGGCTTGAACAGTATAGATCATCAGTCCATAGCTGTCCCTCCGATAGTGGCAGTTTAAACCTCGTTTCTGGCATTCTGCTTTGAATTCTGGTCCTTTAATGGCCGTACATCGTCTCATTGTACAAATACGCGACCGAATGCTCCCTGATTCGGCTGCTAATGCAAACCAATCCTCAAAAAAACACCTACTAGTAATTAATAGCTATATACTTACGTGATACTTCAACAGCTCGTCCACACTAGTTGTACGGACCTCAGCACAATCTCCATTTTTCGGAGATTTGCTGGTTAAGCCATTATGATTCCCTGGGGTCTCGAGGTCAGCGTGGCCAAAGTCTGCCTCAGGTCTTCACCACCACAGGCAGTCGCAGCACTTATGGATCAGAAGGAAGATTTTCCACCGTGCGACGTTGATACCAGGACGGCAGTGAATCCAGGTATTGGTTTATCCTTAGCTAGGCTTCCTGATGGAAACGCCGGACTCCTCAGCTTGGGAGACCCTGCCGGGAGGACGAATCCCGCCGCTGCACATCGTAGCCCGACACCCAGGAACACCTGCCAGCCACGGCGAGGAGGTAAACCGCTGGGAGGTACTAGCTATATATGCCAAGATATAATCATATACATATAAAAAAAAGATATCTGTTCCAAAACTTCTGGTCGTCTTCATAAATTACGAAAAATTTGTAGTATTTCCAACAAGGTCAATTGTTACCATTTTCAATCAATTCTCAATGCAGCACCCCAAAAATGATTTTGACGACACATTTCTATAAATATAACAAACCTCTGCATAACGGCATATCATCGATGTCGTGACGCTACAGCTATCAAGTATCAGTATGGGAAAGTTCTTCTTTTCTGCGAACCTCCGCAATGACTCGTCCCCGAGTTGCAGTCGTGTGTTTGGACGATTGGGCCAGAAGCTAACCCTGTCAATCATTACACTACGGACTTTCGACGCATTCAGTTGTGCCAAATGTGCGTCAGTGACACTATCTTCTTGCATTCCTGTCGATTCACATAACTGGAAACCTTACGATAGGAATGAGCCGGCAATGCAAAAGATACGGATCGACCGTCAAATTGTGGCTTGGTTACCGATCAGTACGCATGCTTTACATTAACTCGTCATTTGATCTTGATAATAATAAAATGCATGTTGTCCATGAAATGGGATTTCTCTACGTATCGTTAAAATGATGACAACTGTACCTACCTCCAACACTTCGATGTATTTGGCAATAGGTGTGAGAAGTCGATGAAGCGTATAAGTGTTTGCATACCAAAAATCAACCACTTGCAGCGAGAGATGTGTCATTGATGATAAATCGCACATGGACAATTGGATACAGAGAAAATCGATGACTAAGTTCGTAAGGTTTAGATTCTGAAATTGCAAAAAAAATGGTTACAACAGTCACATGGATTGCTTATATTCCCGCCAACAGCCGAATGCTACAAATAGGCAAAAGATGAGCTTCCTTTGGCTCTGCTGAGATGCCACGGGTGTCCAGTAGGCTTCCAATTTCCAATGATGTCGTTATATGGTTTCCCATGAAAGAATAGAGATTATGTGTAATACCGCGGATGCGCCGTAGGGGAGGGGATGCATACAGTCCTTAGCAGACTGCTGGGGTTTCTCGAAGAAGATGTAGAACTTCTTCGTGAGACAAAATCTTGAGTCGTCTCCCACGTCCTTCTAAATCATTTGGCTGCAAATTCCTGACAGTATCAAGTTATCAGGATAGAAGATGGGTACATGCAAACACGAAACCACTCATACACCTATATGAGACAGCATATCTTATATACTATAGATTAAAACATTTATGGAGTTCATTCTTCATCAATTTTTAATTTACAGAATTCTCAAAAATTTATCTAAAAAGTATGGTCAATGATGTCAAAATTCTACAAACACTTAGACTTTGTCCGTTTTCCACTAATTGTCGAAAAACCTTTTTACACTGAACACTTGTCATGCGCTTTAATAAGAAAAATTTCTTAAATTATAGATCTATACTATAATAACTATACCTCACGATTGGAGAAAACATATTTATGTGTTATTTATAAATCGAAATTTAAGAGCACGGACAGCGCGGTGGTTAGGGATACATTGAAGGACTATAAGCACTATAACCACGAATCCGATCCAACGCCTAATAACGAAGCTACGTGTCCTGCTCCTCCGGGTCGCAAATCGGTATCAGAATGGCCTGGAAAAGGTCCTTTCGATCCTTCAAGGCCGGTAACAACTTGTGATGACCACCCTGAGGGCTTGAGAATGCCCTAGCACAGGTATCTTAGGACTACAAGGAATACCAAGTTGATCTATATTTAACGACGTTCATAAGAAAACAAAGTCATCGAGAGGTCGTAAAGCCCACATGCAAATCCGAAGGCCTTCGTGGATCATGGATGTGGGAAAACATAGGAAAATAAGTTAAGAACGACAAAAAACCCAAACAGTTGATCGTAAATGTGCGTGCAATGCAACAGTTCGCAATGTTTTTGATTTCAAACGACTGAAATGACTGAAATGAAACGATCACCCGCAGAAAAATCCGGTTGATTTTTAACCGGGAAAAACTGTAGCTTAGCCGCATGCGACGTTGCATCGTAGCGTACGACACGATCATACTCACAGACCGTTGCTCATCGTAGTTCACTCGTCGAAATTCGAGCGCATCATGCGATAGGCCAGTGATTATCAGACGGGACAACTACAACAAAACTAGCTGAGAAAGGGCTTATATTCAATAAAATCCACATTCCAGTCCCCATTAAAGAAAACGTCAGAACATCGGTAACTGGTAACACATTGGTAACACAAAGGTGTTCGCAAGAAGTCAAATTTTCAACATCATACATACCTTAAATGTAGGCAACTTTTCAGTTTCCAGCAAAAGTTTATCGGCGATTTGTTGCCATCGACTGCAAACCATGCGACACTCGCACATCGTCGAAGTGTCTAGCTGCCTCATTATTTTGAACAGTAATTCGGTAGGTAGGTACTAAAAGACCTTAAATCTGATCCTGAAAATCACGACGAATCAAGAGCATTCGAATGACATTCACAACTTCCCAATATTTAAGATTAATGCGTCATGCAGGCACCATGAAAACCTGGTGCTCCTTATAAAACGTGTTATCGCGATGATGATTAGGAGTATCTCGCACCATGCAAGTGAGTGAAGAAATCCGAGCATCCAACGTACGAAGTTGTCCACAAGTCAAGAATGCTGCCAATCACGCTAAGATGCCGAAAATCTGGTGGGTTAGACATATACTGCATCTTTTTGAGAATTATTAAACAAACACTACTACTGACTTGATTCGGCGAGATGTCACACACCCAACAGAAAGACCTACTGGATTACGGACTAAGCCCTGCACAAAAAAAGTCCTGGCCTAGTGTGCTGAAAGAACGCGCTGAGAAACCTTTGGCGGTAGATCTTTCACGATCACCATGAGTTCTAGTGCAGATGAATTCTTAGCTAAGCTCCTGAATCAAAATGTTGATTTCTTCTCGGTTTCTGTGAAATTGCAGGAAAGATAGACGCTCCGCTGTATACATCAGCGATATATCGGAAACACAGCCTCGCTACGATGCAGCCGCCATGGAAGAACATTCGTATCGAGACGAAATAACACTCTAAAGCAGACGTCATCCCTTAGTTTTTCAAGGCCTGTTAAGTTCTAAAAACATTTGTAAACATTTGATCATAAGAGTGCGAACGCGGAAAGAACAGTGGTTAAAGATGGAGAGCACAACGATCAAGTAACCATAGCTCCAGGGTTAGCAAACTGCTACCAGTCTTGACCGTGTGAACCTAGGAAATCGCGACCGAATCCATGCACATACTTGAAGGTCTTCGAAGATGACGGAAAGTTGCAACATATAGTGACTCATATAGTGACATATAGTGATACTTAGTGGAGACCTCATAGAAAGCGGCTCTGAAGAAGGCGAAATTCGCCGAAACGTCAGCTTAATCGTGAACAAAGAACAATAACACCTCGCGTTTGCTCAAAAAAAAATACGAACAAAATCACTTGATCAATGCCGAGGTTAATAGAAAGTCGGTCGTGGCAGTTGCAACATAGTAAAACCAACGAAAAATGTGTTGGGTTCCCCACAATATCGGGTAAGAGTTGCAGCAAAAAGAGCTATTGTAATGTTAACGGCCGCTTCTCCAGTATGTCAACATTGAAGAGATGGTAGTATGTGATTTTCCGTACGATAATGCCTTTCGCCCACTAGACCTTCTTCCACTATCCAATTGATGTTTTCATTTAAATCACGAAACGGTGAAAAAGTAGAAATACTCACATCACATGAGTGGATGGCTTCCTCGTCCGTTCTTGTTCTTGTGTACTTTTCTAGCTTATTTTGAAGCAGATAATAAATAGCGGCCTGACAAATTCTTTTTAGCGGTCGTTCAGGATCATCTAGTGAACCTTGTTCTACTCTGAACAATTTTAATCTACACTCCTATAATTCAATCAATTCCACGGAGAACCCACCTTATCATCTTTCCTTTTCTTTCATGTTCCAGTAATATCTTAAAATCTTAGCAATCGAACTGCACAACAAGAATGGCTGTTCTTTATGATCTTCTACAATTTTGCGCAACAAGCTCATTTGTTTGAAATCATGAAATCTATCCACCGATGCACATATCCAAAGCAAAGTTTAACCTTAAGTCTGTTAGGAAAGCTACGCTAAACCTCTGAACACTGATTCTCGATTCGTGAGTTTTTTATTTTTTTTGTAAGGAAAATTAGTACTTGATACCTGATATCGGAAATTTTGCAAAATATTAATTACAACGGCCTTCGCTCCACGCCACATCCATAGAATGATATCACTTTTAAAGGAACATTTCAGAGAGAAACAAACTGCAACTCAAAACATTTAATAGCTCTTCATTTTAACACACTGCTATGTTATATGGGAGTAGCAACGACCACATAAATTTTTAACTGTACTTCTTAAAGCCAGTGAGGCAGAGTGGTGCTCGCATAGCAGCATAGGTAAACACCAGTGTTCGTTGGCTTTATCCGATGCTTTGAACTTACGAAGCATTGCTTCACTTCGGGATCGCAGGCAAACCAACGCCATCCTTGTACGGATGAACAAAAACTTTAACATGAGCCATCGGTTAGCACCGTATGTGGTGATATAGGTCAACTATACGTTCAACTCCATCCACAATGCCTAACGAAATCGAGTGCATCTCTAAGAGACTATTCAACGCCAAACTTTTTACTTCCTACTTTTCGTACTTAACTACTACCACTACTAGTTAACTACTAGTATGCTAAATTTAAGTCTGATCTAATCGTCATTGATTTGAAAAAATCTGCTCTTATTATTCTCTAGCCCATCGTGGTAAGCTGTCTGTCGAATAGAGCAATCTCAAGTTGTTAAGCGGGAAAATAGTTCCAAATTTCCACAAAGAAACCAAGCTAGGAGTGATCCTACACCAGTGAGGTTGATGCTGTTCAAAAAAAACCCATTCGAAAAGAAGTAAACCTCATTTCAATCCTCTAAGGACAGTGCATGTGATGAACACGCCAGAACACAACTACAATGATGCTGACATATTTGCAAAATTCCGGACAGCAGGTATCTGCAGCGAGGATCGAACCTTGTTATTACCCTTTCCGGGGGATAATGTCTTCATCACCACACCATGCGTGTCCTTTGCTTCGCCTTTCTCTCAGCCGTGTTTCATAAGAACTATTAGCAATTATCCCTCAACGAGATTGATTTGGGGAGCACAAATAGGCAATGAACACAGTTAAGCTCGAGCTGTAGTATAAAACCCAATGTAATTACTTCTTATTTATTGCCTAATTTTTTCATGGCAGGGTATGATGTGAAATATAACTACAATGATGCTGTACCTCCGGTCCGGAGTTTTGCAAGTATCTCAGCAACATCGTAGTTGTATTTCGCGTCATATCCTACCATGAAAGAAGAAAAGGCAGTAAATCAAATGTAATTACCAAGAATACTTTTGGAGGGATTCCTCAAAAGTCCCAAGAAAAAAACTCTAGGAAACCATCAATGTACTGACAAAGTGGGGATTGTTCTAAGTCTGTACTTTCTCCAATGATAGGGCTACATCGAAATAAGCTGGCAATTAAAATAATTTCCTAGCAAAAGCATTCATCGGATTTTGGGCTTAACTCCTGAGCGTGTAACTATTTCATTATCTCTCATCCTTTCTTGTATTTTAGCAGATCATCAACTTCTCATATTCACAATAGTTCCTTTCTTCAAATCTCCTCGACTTGTTTACAAATCAATAATAGTTTGGAGATTAAAAAGCGTTCAGCATTTGTGAAAATCGGATAGAGATAACAAAAGAAGGAAAAAGGATGGGAAGAATAAACAGACTCGAAATCACCACCCTCCTTTCCGGAAACGTGACCACCACTGGAGGCTACAGATGACGAGGTGCGCATAAAGAGGTGTGATTCGGCTGTGGCATTTCCACGGGACATCTTCGCTATAATTCTGAAAACCACGCTCCTGAATGAGAACGTCAACGAGGCTTCACAAAACCAAACATCTAGCTCCTTTAGGAAATCTTTCCTAAATTTTAAATAGGTACTGCGAAACCCTTCTTACTGCTTAATCCTTATCGACTTAATTTCTCTGGTATTGTTTTCGGTTGTCATAATACTGATCCGAAAAAATTTATGCATTTACTCAATGTCATCCTTCGGATCTTTCCATGTGATGGATAGCAACCGTGGGTATGTGGTCCGATCTCATGTGATTATGTGATTGCGAATCAGGATGTGGAAGTCACGTACGCCCTTCCGGTCAATTGCAACAAACAGACATCAAGACACTTCGGTAATCTACACATGAGTATATCCAGAATCCATGGCATCGCCCTATGAATTACTTGTAGGTACCACTTCGAAAAAAGCTGTGAAAATAGAAGGACCTATAGGAAAGTCTGATTATCGTTGTAGTGTCCACTGCTTCGTCTGAACCGCAATCGAGAAGAACGAAGTAGTACAACTTAGAAAGTACTATGAAATAAAATAAAATAAAAGAGTAAAGCTCTCGGCGTTGATCAACCCCAGAAGAATGCGCCATACATTCGACTTTATTGACCATCGTTTGAAGGTGATTGAATGCATATCTGGCCTTTACAATAACTTGAGGTGTCCTGCCGATGCATCGACTCAGTTCTGCTATCCTCTCAGACGAGTCCAATACCAATTTGCTGACCCCGGTGGGATAAAAGGCTTCGTGAGCCACCGGCGCGTTGGATCGACCCTATGTGTGTATTGCAGGGGGCCTCTGACTACTGCCCCACACGCGCCGCTACATGAAGGCAATATTCTCGAGAGCGTACGATTACCGCATCTCTTATTATGTTTCGAACCACATTTACTCAGTAACTTAATATGTCAACAATCTACAAATGTAAAATTCATGAAATAAGAGTGCTGACGGGAATTTTATACAGAAGTACAATGGCATGACGGTTCCGACTTACGACAAAAGACACGAAATAAATACAGCAATACCGTATTTGGTAGTGTGGATCCGACTAGAAACAAGGGTACCACAGCTGGCTAATCATTTATGTGAAATACGATCAGCTTGGCCCACGACGAGTAAAACTCATTCGCATCACTGCCACTTGTGTTTTCGTTAATTATCAAGTCATTTGAGGAATCAGTGAGCAAATCTCATAGAGGCGTTCTGGATAAATTCCAAGAATCCAAAAACGAACCTCAGGCAGTAGCGCCCTGTGATCACACGTGATCTCGCCGCATACTCTAGACTTATTTTTTGACCCGAGCCAAGCACATTTCTCACCCATGTAGGACCTCTTGCAGGACCTCATTGTGTTGAGGGCATGTAAGTGCTTGACTAACAAGATTTCAAATAAATTTGACTTTTCCAGGTTCTGAGGAATGGGACGAATGCATTTTGTTATTAACAACCTCGTGTCTGCTCAAGAAGAAAACAGTTTCTCGAAGCAGTAGAAAAGTTTTCATTCATTCCAGTTACGCCACAGAGGTATTTAGTTGGCTTCGTTTACCAGAAGAACACGATGTTTACCAATTTCTGTACCAGTTCCCTAATTCTTCTATGCTTTCAACGATAACGGAAATCAAACGTATTCGTTGAAAAAATGCCTAATAGGTGGCGCCAGGCATCCGGGTTGCCTAGACGACAAGGGGGTTAGAAAAGGAAAAATCGCCGGATTCTGAAATAAACAAAGCACATGGTGTAATAATCGACTCTGAATACAAAAATAAAATAAGTCTAAATGGCTAAACGACAATGATGATGCTGAAAACCTATCCAGGTGACCTTTTACGCTCTCATTTCCATAACTAATAGAATTGTCATGTTGCGTAAAGAACAAATAGTGTCGTCAAAATATATAAGGAAAAAAACCTTCGAAAATATACAATCCTCCAAGGAACCATCCAATTAATGAACTACAACGGTGAAAATTGGAAAAGAAAAAGCGGAAACAAAAATCCTTATCTGCCTACTACAATTTTCACGGCAGGGTATTATGCGAAATCAACAACAAGGATGCTGAGATGTTCGCAAAACTTGGACTCCTGGTAAGATCGGACCACGATTTCCCTTTCTGGGGTACACTGGTAGATAGAAAACTAGCTGAGGGAAACGCAGAGCAGCGGCCTGCGTGGCGCAGTGTGTAATGCCTAAGACCTCGGAAAGGGAAATCGTGGTTCGATCCAACCAGAAGTCCAAGTTTTGCGAACATCTCAGCATCATTGTGGTTGATTTCGCGTTATATCCTGACGTGAAAATTGTAGCAGGAAGTAAATAAAGAAAATAAACATATATAAAACTAGTTTTGTTCTTTGGAATCTTTCATCAAAAACAACACAAAAAGCAAAAAGGCCAGTGGAACAACTGACGAGCGTTTTAGGATTTGTTTGGTGGTATATTGCCCGACCTCTGCTTTCTTTTTAGTAAGTCCACGGTAGGAAGGGATAAACAGCAGTTTTTGAAATATTCTGAGAGATACCTTGATATTCTGGAAAAACTCAGCCGCTATCTCGGCCATCTATAAATACCTGGAGGGCACATTTGATGGAAACAAAGGATCAAGTCAAAAGAAAATTTATGTATTACAGGGCACCTCCAAGTAGTGAGTGACACTCGGCTCTTTCTTAAACGGGTACGAACTCCGTTAAAACACCTCAAATTACAATTCCATATTTCTATTACATTAGTTTGTCAATTATAGAGACAGTTAGAAGTTGATCTGATGGGACTAAGTGATAAACCTTCCGAGGAAACGACCTCATATTGCATGGATTCTTCGAATCGAAAATAAGAGAACTGCGGCCCTTTCTCGTCCAACGAAGATGGTCTTGGTTGAGAATAACACGACGACAAATTGTGAAGGATTCTGCACTCACTCGTTACAGAACTACTAATACGAAGAAATTCGTATTGCTATATGTCATTAACCGGAACAAAACAAACACGTTTCCTCAATGAAAAAAG